ATGTCATCCAGAGTCTCCAACCATTGGTTACGATAGTCACGCGGACCCCAACCAGGTAGTCTGCATCTACCAACAGGGCTCAGACTAGAAGTTAGTGATTTCAAGCACTGATGCCATGTTTTGGTTTGGCCGCCCCTAACTCTTTTCCAACCATCCCCTACACTGGTCAACATTGCGCGTCGTGGTAATCGGTGTTCAGGCATACGTAACAAGTGGCCCAACCATTTCACTCGATGAAGATTCATCACCACATCAACTGATTTACCACCATTCCCTAATACCCTGTGTCTAACCTCACTATTACTTACCCGGTGATCCCAGCAGATGCGAGCAATATTTCTGTGGTCATCTGTGGTCAAATACTAGTAACCTACGAGTATCTTCTACTCTTAATAGCCATGTTTCACAACCGTAAAGTAGAACAGAGCGAACTGCTGCGCAGTATACTCGTCCCTTAATTGATAGACGGATATCTCGTCTTCGCCATAAGTGACGTAAGTTGGCAAAAGCCAAACGAGCTTTTTGAATCCGTGCTGAGATTTCGTCAGACACCAACCCATTGGGGCTGATCAGACTTCCAAGATAAGTGAAGTTGTCGACGCGTTCCACTACTTCACTCCCTATCCTTAGTTCAGGTGTTGACGCAGGCCAGTCCTGGAGTAACAATTTACATTTGGATGGGGAGAAACGCATCCCAAACATCCTGGCATTATTACTGAGTTCTAACAGAAGACTCTGCATTTTGCCAGCGTCTTCACCAAACATGACTATATCATCTGCGTATTCTAAGTCGATAAGTGAACCTCCTGGTAGAAGATCAATTCCAGAAAATTCAGTCGACGAGATTGTTATTTCCAGCAACAGGTCTATAATGAAGTTAAACAAAAATGGGGATAGTGGACAGCCTTGACGGACACCACTTGAGGTTGTAAAATCAGATGACAGTTCGCCATAAGCTCTCACTCGACTAATAGTGTTCGAGTAAAGAGCCTTCACAAGGTTTATGTACTTCTCAGGTACACCTTTCAATGACGGACACTGCCACAGAACCTCTCGGTCTACAGAGTCAAATGCTGCTTTCAAGTCAAGAAAAACTATCATCGTCGGACGCCGATAAGCATGTCTGTGCTCTAAAACTTGACGAATGGTGAATATGTGGTCGATACAGCCACGACCAGGTCTGAAGCCAGTCCGATTTTCTCGTGTTTGCGGTTCACGAGTCTTAGGCGCCCGATAATTATTGAGGCTAGTATTTTAGATGCTATGTTAGTCAGACTAATCCCTCTATGGTTATCACAGGACGATTTCGGCCCTTTATGTGTTGAGACAATCAGAGATTGTGACCTGTCAGATGGGATTACGTCCGTTTCTTAGATTTTAGTCAGAATATTAGTCAACCTAATCGCTAAAATTGGACCACCATATTTAAAGACCTCTGGAGCCAATCCATCTGGACCAGCTGCTCTTCCTCGTTTCAGATTACTTATAGCCTTTTGAACTTCAAGTAGGGTCGGGGGGCCTACTTCAATGTTCCATTCAGGTTTTCTGGGAATAGTGGGTAGTTGTGCAGTAGCTGAAGGCCAGCTAAACTGCTCCTTAAAGTGTTCCGCCCATCGTTCTAAACGTTTGGGTAGAGAGCAGATAAGGGTTCCATCTTTTTCCGAGATCGTCTCACTTACACTTGACTTCTTAATTCCAGTTTCTTTTATTAGTCTGAATAGTTGCCTGGTGTTGCCTACAGCCGCTGCCTTTTCCATCTCTTTTGCTTTCGTTGCCCACCACTGCTCACGATCGTTCCTTAGACTTTTAGTTAACCTAGATCTAATTTTTTTACGCTCTTCGTCATGTTCAGAGCCTGATGGTATGAGTTTACGCGAATCCATCAGTGAAATAGACCTAGAAGAAATCCACTGGTTTTTTAGAGCCCTATGGTTTAAATGACTAATAGATGTTACTGCTGTCTCCACAGCTGTTCGTATGCCTTTCCAAGCAGCATCTGGGTCAGTCTCGTTTACAGAACTGCCTAGATGTGAACTCAGTTGTCTCTGGAATTCACATTTGGCTTTCTCGTCCTCCAGATCAATCCTAATGGGTCTTCTTAGTGTGCTTTTCCTGCGTCCATTGAGGTGCAGACAAATGCGCGCTCGTATTAAAGCGTGATCAGAGTCTAAACAAGTATTCCAATACGAGCGACAATCTTCTATTGAGCCTCTCCAACGATAACTGACAACAATATGGTCTATTTGAGTTTATCGTTGGTTTGGTGCAGGTGGTCGCCATGTTAAACGATGTCTCTCCTTATGCTTAAAATTAGTGCTTGCTAAAAATAAACGATTGTCTGAGCATAGTTGCAACAGACGATCACCATTATCGGTTCGTTGAGCCGGAATACTAAAACACCCACCTAAATGTCTTTCTGTTTGGTTCAAGCTGCCTACCTGGGCATTAAAGTCACCCGCTACGACTACTATGTCTGAGCGCTTAGCTTTCTGAAGAAGCTCAGAGAGTTTTCTGTAAAAGTCATCTTTCACTTCATCATGGCTGCAGTCGGTGTGAGCGTAGGCAGAAACGACGAAAAGGCAACGACGTGTGTCCCTATCCTTCCGAGTTCTTACGGAGCCATTTAGCCGGACAGCACACAGGCGACTGTTAACGGGGATCCATTCTAGTAGTGCCTGTTCTGCCCTTGTACTTAGTGCTATGCCTACACCTGCAAGTCCACGAGAACTAGCCAACGGGTCGCCAGATACACGGAGGGTGTATTTCGTTGGCTGTCCATTTTGGCGAAGTGAGGTCAAGTAAATGACCACACTAGGATCCTGTATGTGTGTTTCGGAGACACAGCATACATCAATGGTACGAGATTCTAGGGTCTTAACCAAGGAGGCCTGTTGACCGATTTGACTTAAAGTACGTACGTTGAAGGCTCCAATGTGTAGTTTGGAGCGAGGTTTTAGTAGACCTGGGACAGCGTTTCGCGCACTAGAATCGTTGGCCATGGTGACACTTGAGGAGGAAACCGAGAGAGGAAGTTTAGTGTTGAAAGTCAAGGTAGTAGGAATTGAAGAAGGAGATTGATTATGAATACAGTGGTCTTGAGTGTTGTTAGAGGTATGAGGGCAGTTATCACTTCCCGGTTGCCCACATCGTGGAAGGATTCTTCTGGAGGTACCTGAAAAGGAAACTGGGTTAGAAGTGGTCTTAATGACCTGAGAGCGTGACCGCAGTGCCCAAGGGACAACTGCTTGAGGTCGGTCACACACGACCTTTTTGTGGGTAGTTTTTGTGTTAGCTCCGTCCTTCAAAGGACCTTACCGCCGGAGACGGATATCCGTGGGATAAGGCGAGGTGTGCATTTTTAGGGTCGACCTTTTCTAACCCCACCCCTCCTTGTGGAAAGGCAGCATCGCTGTCATGCTGGTTGTCTGAAGGAAACACCTTACTGCTGTCACACCTCTGTACAGTCAGCAGTACGACTTCGCCTTCGGACCTTGGGTTTGCTGCTTTTAGTCTCACCGCTCTTCAAACGACCTGCCTGGCATGGTAGGACCTCGAGGAACGATTGTTCCAGCCAGTATAGCTCGATTGGTTCATCACGATAGGCAAGCCCGACCACCACGTCAAGGTAGCAGCAACGGTCAGACTAACTTTTGTAGTTACCATGAAGCTATCGAGACTAGCCAGGTGAGATTACATCAAGTTTCCAGACTATATAATATCTATTGGCCTAATTACTGAAACCGAACCTCCATTCTTAAAAAGTAGTTCATCAGAACCTCTCATTTTAGCTTCCCTATGGCTTTTGTAATTTTATCAGAAGTCGGGCAGCTTATAATGACATCCCATTGAGGTTATTTAGTAACTGTAGGAGACGGAAGGTAAGCTGGAGTTCAGTTAAGCTGTTCTTCGAAGTACTCTCCCCATCATTCCAATCTCGCTGATGTTGAATGAATGATTACTCCACCCTTTCCCGATATTTTTCGACTGACTTCCGAATCCTGATTGTCTATTCATTTGACAAGTTTGAAAAAGTTGTCCATTGTTACCTATTGCTACAAACATTTCCGCCTCTTTTGCTACCGCTCTCAACACTACTGCACAGCGAAAGCAGGAAAGTTACACACCGTTGTGTTGTTTTCGTCTACACTAAATGACTTTGTATTCAAATCCTTTTACCGTCACCGTGTTTTCTCACTGTTCACGCCTCATAAAATTAAGCCTTAAAATCTCATACGTTTGTACGGCCTGATATTGAGCTGGTTGAAAGAGCTTTTAGCTGAATTTCGTTATTTCATTGTTCTGGGAATTATCAAATTATTAAGATAAACACGAATACTAGTTGAAAATAGAAAAGGGCGATCCTATAGATTCATATGTACTGGTTTGGATTTTGAACCAACATTTTCAACATTGCTTAGGTTTCTAAGAATTAAAATGGTTATTGTTTTTAAAGTTGCTAATGCGGAACAAGTAGTGGTGTTAAATTTATTTAAATAAGATTTAAATAATAGCTAACAGAGGAATAGGAAGTGCACTTCTCGCCTCATTTAGATTCTTTGGTTGTTTGTGTCTACCTGTGTTGATGTTTACACTGGGACTCAAAGCCAGTACCTTTTGCTTCAAACGACCAATTAGCTATTAAGTCACAATAGGACAGAACACATGTACTGGATTCTACTGCTAGCCATTGTCCAACTATGCTTAAAATCCTTGTGACTGAGTAAAACTATCGAGGCAGTGGGCTCAGGATACACATCCCAGAACAAAGTGATCATTTGCAGTCCCTAACATCAATGAGTAGATTCACGTAATCTTTCCAGATATAATTTGAGTAGAAAGTTATAACGGCAAAAAACATGTTTTCAAAATGCCTGTACTCGATAGTCCAGAAATGCTAGTCAGACTGATCAGCATCAGTCCATTATTTGTTTTACCATGGTAACCCACTTTTGTGTCACATTGAAAAATGCCTGTATATATATTTATTTATTTTACTGTAGGTTTAAGGCACTTATTGAAGTTCTTTCCAAGTTACCAACAACAACGAAAGTATATTGTGGGCACGAATATACTGTAAAAAATCTTGAATTCGGTTTAACTGTTGAGCCAAAAAATGAAGCGCTTAAACATCGGTTAGAAGCCGTAAAACGTTTACGTGCGTCTAATCAAGCAAGTGTTCCCGGTACAATTGGGGAGGAATTAGCAACCAATCCTTTCATGCGTGTTTCTGAACCAGATGTGCTCGCACATGCGAAAACTACAGATCCCATCAAAGCCATGAAGACAATTCGTGAAGAAAAAGATCGCTTTTAGATTTAAAGGTCATCTGTCTTAAACCAGTGATGTATTACAATTTCTTCAATGAAGTTAGTATGCTCTTTTACATTCTTATCTTGACCCTGAACATAAATAAAACATATCTATTGAATTAATCAAATAAAACTGTTACTAATGATTTATTTGTTCTGTGATCAAATACATGGATTTAGGGTGTCCTGGTTTCGATGACGAAGGATATGTAGTGCTTTAGTCCTCCAATACACTCACTATACACCTAAAACCTTTGATCATATAATACTTTGTTTTGTTGTTATTATAGCAGTGTGTTCATGTACGCGTAGTAACTAATTAATTTGTGATTATTCCCTAGTAATTCACGTCGAAAATGTTTTTCGTCATTGCTTGCCACATCGTAAGTTGTTACTAGTTGTATAGGAATGAATTTCCAGCTCGTTACATTAGTTGTATATCTAACTACTCTGTTTTGTATCAAGTCAATAAGAGCCATTGGTGGTTTGTTTAGTCTCTTACTAGCCATATTATTTAACCATTGTTAAGGTCTCAGTAATTTAGCATAGGATCTGATTCTAGCTATATATTTTCTGAATGTTTTTGTGTACTTTATCCACCACATAATGGTCTCCCAAACACCTAATTAGACTAACATGATCATATAGATAAAATACTAGAGCATAGCCTAGGAATCTCGATAGATAAATAATGGGAGTAATTGTACTACGAAGTTGTGTAGTTCATGGTCAGTTGACTTGTTTTGGACAAGTAAAGTTAACATTGGTTAGTTTAGAGAGCCATGAACATTAATTAGGGGGGTACGGGTTAATTCACTGAGTAATGAAAAACGAATACTCTTAGTTTAATTTTCACCCTTTCCTAACAGATGGAGAGCATCAAGATCTGAATCTATAGAAACATGTGTTTATTTATGTACTTCTTGGTAGTCACGTATTGTCGCGAATTCGTACTTCGAAGTATTAGCGAGCGTAGGTTGTATAGTTCCATCTGCTTAATATGATTACAGTTATAGTATTAAATTTTGTAGTGTAGATAACAACAAAAGATTGTGTATGCAAATAAAAGGCCTTGTCAAATTAATAGTTTAGCAGGGGATCATAATGTGGTTGGAGTTAGCTAACTAAGATGTTTGTTACAATAATTAAAGGTTATAGAAGGGTCAAATCAAATGAAGTGATGTCAGAAACAATTATGAGTGAATTCATAGAAATATGAGGAACAAATAAAGACAGCGGGATATTTTCAAATATGAAGTATAATAGTGATGGTTTAAGTTCACTATATAGATAAGGGTAAGACGTCTTTTGTACACGCAATTCTGGGAGTTCTCACGGATGGTAAGAGCCAGTGTTTTAGGGAGTTGGATACAAGGAAATCTGGGTAGATTTGGACTAATAGTATAGAACATGTAGATCAGTGGAGTGATTGTAATTGTTTAGATATTCAGCTATGCAACGCCTAGTTGCTGCCCCCCTCACTCTTGTAGAACAACATTAGGATATGTTCTCGTATCCAAATTGATAGAAGCTGCTGGCTACGGCCTATGTGCCTTCCTCTACAACAACAGATGAACTGGTAGATGTACGTACAGGTAGTCAGACGAGGAAGCTTATATATCACGGATTCAAAAAACAAGTTCCTACTAGTGAACGTTAGTCGCAGCTTTGCTGCTCGGAATGTTCTTTTTATTGCCGCAGTTAACCGATTTTTAATTACACCAGAAGTTTGGTCACCTTTAAATTTCAGATTCATATGAAGATGATTCTTTGAAACGGAATTGCCGGATCCCTTTTCCCGACTTCCATTTATAATCTCTATGAAGCGACTTGTATATCAGTTTACAGCCAAAGTTGCAAGTTGTCTGTCACTGCATTCCGTATAAAATATATGTATTTGGCAACACAACGAGTCAACCAGATTCCTCGTTCTGCTTAGTGAGCCCAGCCATAGAAGTTGGTCATTCCGTGCTTTTTCCTGTTAAAAGCTCATCAAGGACTGAAGTAGAATGAATTACTTGATTTCCTGATGTGAAATACCTGAAAAGATGATATGTATCGAAAGAGTGCTAGATGTCAATCAACTCAACATTCTTGTCTCAGATGACAAACATGTCGTCCATGTCTTTTTTATAGATTAAATCGACTAATAATCGAACTAAGTTGATTGTTTTCCAGCTTGGGTATGAAACAGTCTGTTAAGATTGAGCTCAATGGAGACTCCGACTCTTAGTTGAAACTGGACTGGACATTAAACGTACAACTTAACAATAGTTCTCAAGTAGTCAGTTGGTAGGCCTACATCCATGTATTTAGAATCAATATGATCACATATGTACCATGTAGTTTCAGTTAATGGTACGCCGGTGAACAGAGAACTAATATCAAGCAAGGAAATGAGTTTTCCGGAAGTACTAGCATTCTTAATACTTTTAATAAACTGAAAAAGTATCAACAGAATACTTAGATCCTCGCCTTATAACTGCTCCCAATTTTTCAGCTAGCGATTAGGTGTTAGGGTAAATTAGACGTGTCCAACATAGATCGTGACACTAATCCAGGTTTAATTACTTTCGGCAATTCACACAAGCGCGGGATGATCGAACCCATTGCACATATGTGACTATACAAGTCTGCGGTTATTGTCTCCATATTCAAATTTTTAACGTCAGTTAGCTGTTTTCCAATTTGTAGGTTTTTGTCTACTTCTTTAGGCTTGGAAAATTTAGTACCATCTTGTTCAAGTAACCTTGCGCTCCAAGAAGTACCACACCAGACCCTTTGTCAGGTCCACTTTACGACTCAGTCCTTATTTCTTTTCAGAAGAATCTGCTGATATATATAACTTTTGGTTAATAAGTCATTATGACCATTTTGCTTTAATGCATCCATGACAATAATCAAGTACCGTGGTTATGAAATGCTGAAATTCTTGTGATGTTGGAATGAGATCATAAGTTTGATTTACTAGGTTTAGGGATTGTATTTGCGTATGAAGTTTATTGGTTTTTGCAGAATTTGGAGCCCTCTGATAAGACCTGCATTTGGATTGACGAAAGTATGATTAAACATGTATTTCTCGGAATTCATTTGAAAATTATTGTCTTATTCACATCTACAGGTTTTAAGTATTTGAGTTTAGCTGTGTGGGATCGCTGTTCAGTAACAGTAAAAACAATCCTCAAACTGTTCTCGTTCATCTAACGACGATCCATATGATGAGTGACTTCTTAGAAATATGTTGAGTTATATTCCAACTAATCGGGACTTAATAGCATCGATACGATTAAGTGTATGACGTTGGGATGAATATGATTTCGCCTTATTCATCTTCCACAAGCGGTGAGGAAACTCATTTATTCTGGGAAAACCGAGCTCACATTTCACTGAAGCAAGTTTGACAGTGTGACATAAAAGCTCACTGAGTTTTTTCATCGTCTTAGGATACTTGCGTTTCTTCAATAGACATATAATTCCCAATTAAACATTAAAACCACGGAGTTCAGAGTAGGAATCACTTTCCAAATAATTTGTAATAAAAACATTTTAACTATCTTGCTCCGATCACATTATAATCCGTTGCCAACTTTAATTTTACAAGGCTTTTTATTTGCACACATACTTACTTACGCCTGTTACCCCCAATGGGACATAGAGCGACGACCAGCATTCTGTCCTAAGCCTTCCTTTCTAGTTCTATCCAGTAGTTGTTCATTCTTCTCATATCTGTTTCCATTTCTCGGCGTAATGTGTTCTTTGGTCTTCCTCTTCCCCTTTGGCCCTGAGAATTCTAAGTGAGGGTTTGCGTTGTGACGCAGTTAAGTGATTTCCTCAATGTGTGTTTTATCCACTCCTTCCTCCGCTGAAACCTGGTTTCTTCTCTCCCACAGTAGGTTGTTGCTGATAGTTTCTGGCCAACGGATCCAAAGTATTTTGCGTAGACAACCGTTAATAAACACTTGTATCTTCTGGAAGATGACTTTCTTAGTTCATACACATACAATCTTTAATTTTTATCATTTACACTACATAACCTAATATTATAACCACTTTATTGTATCAACATGTTTATTCACTGTTCATATATCCTCATGGAATTAACAACTGTACGGGATAGAATTTAGATATCTATTATTAGTGACTAGTTACCACGTAGCATTGAAATTTTGTTATGTTATTCAGTGCACGTCGTAATCATTCTCTAGGTAGTGAAGTTTGGGTACAGGATTAAGATTGAGCATTTATGGGGTTGATGTTCACAATCACTTGATAATCAAGAACAGATAATGTAAAAACAACTCATGTCGTTAATATAGAAATTTTATCCTATAGTTAGGAATATTAGCTAGTTAAGTTGCCTTAAACTGTCTCCACCCATAATCTACAGATATCACTTATGAAGAAGTGAAAAGCTACCTCGACTTACATTGTTTGAAAGTGAACTATCGCAATAACTTGACCACTTCCCTCGCGAGTGCTAACTTGTTTAGTGTTGGCGAATCAAACACCTCAAAGACGAAGTATTTGTGCACTTTTTTGCACTAAAGTGGGAAATTATTTACCGTTAAATTGTTGTAATATATATATTCCCGACTTTTCAGTCTTAATTGTAATTAGTAAGTTCTGTATTATTGTACAAACTACTTAACAATTGCAATGTGATAACGTGTGTGAGATTGACGTTTACAAAGTGTCAAACGAACCTTTTCACAACACAAGGGCTTTCTGTACTCGAAACCTACTTTTTTCACTCCTTTTTACCAAACAAAATGTTTAAAAGTGGTGCGAGGTACTGTGATCCAGTTAGTTATACGTGGCTTTTGTTTTTAATGGGATCTGTGATGTCATACTAATGATCTTACAAATTCAATACTTTAATAGATGAAGTTTCGGTTAATATTTATGAGCCTGTGCGTACATAGAAACACACTGAACAGATTAAAATCATTTATATTGGACAACCTGGCTATATACCCAGATTTTCTTAGCTTTATCCAATCTCAGATCTTTATAAGCGATTCATGAGTAAAAAATTTCATCATGTAGTATAACTTCGATGTCTAACAGGCAAGCCCTTCTAAAAGAATTAAGTGACACAAGAGACCTACACTTCCTGTTCATCAACTAGGAATCAGTGCCATAGATAAGCCAAAAGTGAAACATGAATAACAAATCAGGACTGCCAAAGGAAATCATTACAAGTAATAGGTGTGATTACTTTGACGTGGAGTAATGTGCATATGTCTAACACCAAAGTGATTGCATTAAGACTGAGTTATGTTTACTGGGTACACAGAAGTTAGTAATCCCAATCCGAATCCAAGATCCAGCTCCTTACAGAGTACTGTGGGGACCAAACAAGCCACTTTAGTAATATTACTAACATACTTAAACAGATTATGAGTAAATAGAGCCCCGCATGCTGTACCAAACCATATAGATTTACAAGTAATTAGAGCCACACCAAAAAACATAACAAGCAAAGATTATCGGACCATGCAATTTAGGAAGAAATAAAGCTGGGGACTCCAATGTAATGAGAATGTGGTTTGTTAAACACTATAAAACTTTATAGTTTATTTTCTGGTTCTGAATACACAAAGTAACGAATACGGTGTAACATGAATAGACTGAGTGTAAATCAGCAGTCATTGTAAGATTGTGCTTACAAATCGAATAGTAAGTAAAAATAATAGGTTTAACCAAAAAAAGTCTGTCCATTCAAGAAAAACTATGAAAGTAAACGTCAAATGAGGAGTAATATGGTATATGATAATATATATATATACATAACGTATCACAATAACTAGATCAGTCATACGATTACTGCTCCTCTCCAAGTGGGTCGGCAAGACCTTCTGTTTCCATTATAAGAGCTCTTTCTAATATCACCTTGCCCTCCTTGTATCGTTGACTCTCCTCCATAGCATGTTCGTACATCCAACCCAACTTGGTATTGCACTTGATGCACACAACATCTCTTACTAAGTGACGCCCAGTCAACATAACACGGTCCTGAAACGAACACAATCGTTATCTGGAGTTGCTCAATACCAAACGTACTTGTATATCACTGTGAACTATGTTAACAACACGATTGAATAGGAATGCGCGGCCAGTAGCACCTGTAAAGCGAGTGCTAAGTATCTCGCTCCTATTTGTCAGTGGGGTTTCACAATACTGACAGTGTATAATCCTATGTCCACCCATATGCTCTATGAAAATTCGACCCATCTTGACGATTCGCTAGTCTAAAAAGGAAACGAAAACTACTGAATACAGCTGATTCCTAGCAAGTCGACCTCAGAATCGAAACATTAAAACAATTGGTTTGCTTTGTGGTAGTAAAAACTCCCCACATACTTTTATGATATGATTTTAGCATTAAATAAACACTCAGTGATTAAATGAGAAAATTTATTTCCTTTAATTCGGGTTGATAATTTGAGGGTGATGGGAAGCTACGATGACTGACTAGTTGATGTTAATTCTAACTAGAAAAGGTAAGTTAGGTGAACCAGCTTCACAAATATAAGTCCTCTCATGTTTATAGATGAAGAGTGAATATCCTTCCTTCCAGATCATTTTCTGAGTTTATGAAATGATGAAGTCTCTATCCGACTAAAGCCTTGTAGTATCAGTTTACATGTTAAGCCCATATACTTTATTCTAGCTACTGGCCAAGCAAATTCACCTATACATTGAGTCATATTTTGATTTTGTTAATTATTCGCTTATTAACTTTGACTACCTTTTTATATGAGCGTATGTGTATGAATACTTCGTATCTTATTCACCATATATCTGTCATTCATTTTTGTGTGATTATAAATATTGAGTAATGCTTGCTCATAGTGAGTTGGCTTTCCAGCCATCTCCTATACGCATTGTTTTCGCTTCGCTCTCGAGTTGGCTTCCCAGCCGTCTCCACTATGCATCATCTTTGCTTCGCTCGCTTACACTTGCTCATGTGCCCACAGCTTTCTGGTCTGCATCATTTATCAATAAAAATGTAGTTGCCGCTTCCCTTTGCATTCTGATTTTATACACCGTTAAGAGTGGTATAGTAACGGTTATCGAAGTGAACTATTATTGAAGCACGGTACTACAGCCTGATGTTTATTCTTGAGTGTTATTCATGTAACCAGGAGTTATAGAGAGGTTGGTGAATATGTGTCACGTAACTGTCGTGCTAGCGGTAAAAAGTGCAGGAAGAAAAATCATCATAACGTAAAATAAAAGTAAAATGTGTTCAGTGATGAATGTACATTAGACGAGAAATACGTTTTTAAAGAATCACTGTAGAGATGAATAAATCCTCAAAGCAAATACTCGAAAAGTACTCCAGATTTGATATAAAATTTGCTAGTTTAGATGAATTTGACAGCCTGAAGTAATACAACCATGCTTCCTGGTCATTTTTAGTACACTACTGCTTTAACGAAATTGTCATTGTGTTCTCTACTTTCGTTACTGTCTAGTAAGAAAAAACAGATTTCTTTGTTCACAAGTTTTGATATCAAGGTGTGATCTCAGAGACTACACAGCTTTTGAAACAGTTGGGTCATTAAACTGGCTTTTGTAGTGTAAATGAATTTTAAAAGTCAGTTAAAATCGGGAAAATTGCATATAGGTGGTTTTATCTAGTACGAGAGTAACCTTTTTTTCATCATTTATTGAAAGTGTAACTTCTGTCATTGCCGAGCAAATTAAACTGATGGGTCTTGCATATATAAAATGATTTCCAATGAGTAGTTCGCTCCCATTTGGAGCCATCTATATGTTTTTATGAAGCAATCACTGCACTTCATCATATCTTACTAGGTGGAAAAAGCGAATAAAGTTAAAGGTAGAGATTGATATGAAATTCCCTGGTAAACTGATGTTTTTATATTTAGTACTCATCTGACGAATGAACAAAGAAATGCTGGAAAATAATTTTTATCACACACGGGTTGAACATTGAAAATCAGTACACCACTGATTCATGGACACGTAGCTTATTTCCTTGTTTGTTCGAGAGCGACGGCGTTGCTGCTTGTATTTTAGCGAGCAGACGTTTCTTATCTTAGATTATAGACATGACATTAGAATATATCGGAAAAATGACAAGACGTGACTATAAAATGAAAATAAGTCTGTAGTGATTATGCTCACATAAATTTAAGTGGCAGTCAGATCTCACTCCTAAGAACTTTCAACAGCCTCATTAAAAGTAATTTGTTGACTTGGCCCCTAATCAAGTGGACTGAGCGAAAACGAACTACAATTGAACGTGTTCTTATTCCAAACTTTCACCAGGCCCTTATTCTCAGAAACATCTTAAACGACCGCCCACTTGTTTCAAGACGACTGTATAACAGAACATTCGAAGGACTTCTAGTATATAGCAACTATACTACAACCAACCTCTATTATGATTAATTTTGGTCAAGCCCTTTTATTAATTTACTTAACGGACATTGTCATGTGGATAGTAACAATTTGCATATTTCTTTGTACTGTTGTGATCACTAAAGCATATGACAGACTCTAGCCAAAAGTTGATTGCTTAAATACCATTCGGTGACTCATCCTCCGCCCCATATATGTACGCACTTAAATCCCACTATTAACTATTTTTGTTTTGTTGCGCCCTTATACAATTTACAATAAATTTGCCTATGCAATTGCTTGCTCTCGCTCGCTGATGCTTGCTCACGTGCTTAAAGCTTTGTGCCCTGTGTCATTTGATAATAAACTGTAATTGTAGCTTCTCTTTGCCTTCTGATTTTATACACCATCTGTATTATAACGGTTACCGAGGTAAACAATTAGCGAGGCATTGTACTACAGGTATAACCCAGAGCTTTAATGTTTCAAACCTAATTTTGAGCGAATTGAGCGAATATTTAACGTTCAACTGCTATCCGATAACAAAACTAATGGCCAATTGTAATTTATTGATTGCTAAGGCTGGACAAATTTGGAGGTTTTGTTGTTTTCTACCTGTTATCCTTTTTCACTACTGTCCTTTAGCTATAACACCACCTAATGAGTTTTATCTGTTATCTAATACGTCAGTACTGCCTAGCTTCCAAGTTGAAACAAACCAGTTCAAAGAGTCAGAATGGTGTAGACCCAACCTAATGGCACATATGTCAAGTAACTATGCTAATACAGCTAACCGTACGACAGATTGAAGGCACTACTAAGCAAAGAAATAGAACTTATTTAACAACTATCACCACATTATCACGATTGGTTGAAAGCTGCTGCCACCACTGTGAACTTAACATAGTAGAAAAGTTTATTTACTTGACGGCTATGATATACTTAATACTGGTACTGGATATAATAAAACCGTTTTGGTACATGGCTTAGCAATACGATTTCCTTAACCATAAACGGGGTAGCTATATATGTACGTATTGGGCAGTTTTTAGAATTTCTATTTAATATACTGTATTCTTTTCTATTGTTTGTAGTTTTCACATAACTACAATCTAGTCCTTCAAATTCAAATAATATTTATAGGTCACATGTGGTGAAGAAGTTCTATGGGTATCGGTCGACTGAACGATATTTAAATTAGTAGGTAGTATTTTCGTTATTGAATTAATTGGTTTACTAAATGACTACAGCATTACAGATAGATGTATGCATAACTCGATAAAGATGAACCCTCAGAAATGTTCAGTAGGCAAACAAAACCAGCTAATAAGATATAACCAGAATACTTTCGAGAACACATATGTTTCGTATTCTATACATTTATAAGCGAATGATCAATTTATTACAAAATTCCGAGAAAAATATATTGTTATATTGCTTTAACACGATTTGTGAATTCGTTGTGGTTCCTAACGGACTCTTCATCATTAAAGACAATAAATCTTTTACATGAACTCATTCATGTGATTCCACATAATCTATTTCCCGATTCCACGTGAGGTTAAAATATTGTTTTTTGACGAGTTCATGTAGCGTCTACATTGTTGGTATAGAAATCATTTGGTAGGTTCACAAACCAATGTTTAAATGCCACCATGTGATGGATGTAACTGTGTCCATGAAGACTTGGGTTTATTTATTTAATTAATTGAACACATAAATATTGGTTCAAGGGGGCACCAGATACACATGCGCCACACAAATCTCATTTGATTTGTGTGAAGGCTGTGATACTGCCCAGGTGCCCAAGCTGAAGCAAGTGGTTTGCTTAGGAGGCCACACCCGGAGCCTTTTACCTGAAGGTCTGATCCACAAGGCAGTTGAGCATCGTAAGGAGATGCAGTCTCATGGTAGCCGGTGACCAACGATTGATTCATACTCCATTTGTTCCTTCAGGATACTGGAGCTCATGTTCACCACTGGTTTGGAATCAGGGTTTTCCAACCCCTGTAAGTTGACTTTCTGTGTCCATCACCCGGTCAAAACGCCGGACATTCGCTTTTCGTACTCTCAATTTTGTAAACAACACCCCCGCCACGAGAAGGTATTGAGTAGGAATTTTCTGGATACGCTCTCCGATCGTCAATGTAGATTCTCGTACCTTGTTGAACATGCTATATAATGATGGTCAGTTGATTTGAAAACATTATGTTTCCGACGTATTACAATGTTATATCAGTGTATTCTTGTCCAATGTTCTTAAAACATGTTAAGAATGAAGCAATCACTCCTCATGAATTCTCATTTACACTTCTATCCTTCTGATGCTTACTTTTTAAAACTACTGCTTCATCGGATTCGACGCTTCTGCAAGACCTCTGAAATGAATAAGTTTATTTGTAGTACACTACAAACCTATTATCGGCGTTATTAATGATGTATTTTGAGATGGTGGAGAAGATTTGTAGTTCAAGTGGATGATTTTAATGGAATATTGTTCTCTAACCGAAGTTTGTGCTGATGATGTCGTTCAGAAGGACGATGAAAGCTCCACGACCATCCAGCTCAGAGAACAAAAATCCATCATAAGGGTGTATTGTTGTGACATTATTGCATCACTCAAGATATCTACTTGAGAGATTGGTGCATCTAAAATCCACGGGTTAATTTCAAGTACAATTTGTCCTGATTGGTTTTGAAGTATTCGATGAATGCGCACTTTGTTTTTGATTTCGTTGACCAAAGAGATTCAGAACCTAAAACCTCTTCACCTGGTGAGTCAGTGCCACGCCTGCACTTAAATCGATGCCTGCAAACTCACGTTATGCCACTTATAAGCAATCCCAAATTTGTAAGGCGTTGCAGAATGATAAGCGGAGATGGTGGTGGTCGGCATTACAATCCAGGACGTGTGTTTCGTCCTACTATAGAATCACACTCTG